TAGATGATGTAAGTGCACATGCAAACACCACATCTTCTTTAACTTTAGAAGATCCTGCTGAAGAAAAACCACAGAATCATTAAAATATTTTAAAATGAATTATCTCCTGTGCTTAGGTACAGGTACTTTCTGAGGGTAGGAAATAGAATACCACTTTCACACTCTTATTCTTAAGAGCTTATATTATCAAATAAAAATAAATATGTGAGAACCAAAATTGCCACCTCTGACACTAAGCATCTCTCCCTAGCTTAGGAGAAGTGATGCAGTCATTCATGGTAAGACTTGAGGAAGAGAAGTTGAAGTAGGAGCAGCCATATGCAAAGTGCTTCAGCTCTCAGACAGAAGGAGAATTTTTTTCAAGGAAATAGATGTTTGATTCTGAATGATGAGGAATCATCATTTTCAGATCAGTCACTTGGTAATCAGTTATTTTGCAAATGCATTACAATTTCTCAACTAATTAGGAATATAATATGATCTGAATTAGAGGAAAATAAAGTATGTTTTAAAGATAAATGAAAAAAATACTGATTATTTTTACATTTATACAATAATGTGAATTAATAATTGACAGTATTGTCAAGAAGGCACTCTCCACCTAATTTTGTAATTACTATTCATATGTATACATATAAAGTTTTACTTAAGTTATTTTATAAGTGGTAGAAAGTTTAAAAATTAAAATTATTTTAAGGTTGGTTTAAATATTATCCCTTAGATTTTAATTTGAAACTACTCATTTAATTTTCCTTATTTAATTAATTTAACACATATGGTAAGTTAAGATCCATGAAAAGCTCAAATGTAAACATCAGCCAAAATAAGACCTATTACCAAAACATTCCAAGCTAGGAAGATACAAATCAATGGGTTTTACTTTAATAAACTTTAAGTGTAGATTATGGGTATTTATATGGTATATATATACCTTTTACGCTGCTTTTAGTCTCTGATTGTACATTTTTCAGTTTGCCTAAAAACAAAACCAACATAAACATAAAATTGGCACAATAGGAGACTAGAATATAGGATACATTATCAAATCAAATCTATTACACATTACCTTTCATTTTCTGTGGCAATTCCTTTGTTTCAATTTCCTCTGAATCACTACTTTCAATGCACTGGACAGCAGTTTTTCTTCTAAAATTAAGTATGCACAAAGAAATTTTTTTACCAGCCCAAAACAAAAGATATAAAAACATATGTTTAATAAAGGCAACATAAAACTTTTGCTTTGCCCATTTATTTTTTGAAAAATTTCCAAAGATTTTATTTGACAAATGAAAGTCAAATTTACTAAAAGAATTCTACTTTCATAATCATATAGATGCATTTATTATACAAAATGCAGTACCACCATTATTAAAATAAATTTCAAAATTAAGTCATTTTAGAGCTGGGTGTGGTAGCTCACGCCTATAAATCCCAGCAACTCAGGAGGCTGAGGCAGGAGGATTGCTTAAACCCAAGAGTTTGAGACCAGCCTGGGCAACATAGCAAGATCTTGTCTAAAAAAATGAGAAAAATTAGCCAGGTACAGTGGTACACACCTATAGTCCCAGGTACTCGGGAGACTGAGGGAGGAAGATCGCTTGAGCCCAGGAATCCTACTCTACTGTGAGTTATAATTGTGCCACTGCATCCCAGCCTGGGTAATAAAGCGAGACCTCATCTTTAAATATAAAAAAAATTAAGTCATTCTAAAAAAGGAACAATTTCAATACTGAGTTCAGTATTTGGTAGTTCAAGTAAAACATTTATATAAAGCTAAAACAAAAAAGATTGGGCTCTTATCAAAGAAAATACATCTACTATAATGATATAAGCAGCCAGAAGGCAAAAATGTAATTCTTTCACAATGGAAAATGTCATAAATTTTGTGTAGAAACAGTATAACACAGTGGTTAAGTAGCTAAGGATAATGGACTCGAGTCAGATTGCCTAGATTCAAATTCCCATTCCACCACTAATTTGCTATGTGATTTTGAGTAAGTCACCTAATAATGCTTTAATGCCTCCATTTCCTCATTTGGAAAGTGGGAATAAAAGTATGTGCAAACTCCCAGTGCCTATTACACAGTAAACATATCTGTATTAGCTATAATATGTGTGTTGGTTATTAAGTTTTTCCCATGTCCTTCTCATTATTATTTTCATGTCTTTTAATCTGATGTGGTCAAACGAATAGTGTTCTGTTACCTAGGTTTATGGTCAGTTTGGGGTTGTAAGATTTGAGGTTTAGATAGGGGGGAAACTGATGAGTGCTGATTTTGTGCTCAGTTCAAATAAGTATTAATGATAAAACAATTACCAAAGCCATAGTTTTAAGATCTTTGTTAGTGAAACAGCTAGCAGAGACTCAGATCTAAGATCACTTCTGTAAATACTGATGATAGACAATACAACAAAATCCCAGTAGTCAGACATACTTCAGAGGGCAAATGAAGTTTGTAACATTAACAGATTCAAGATAAGATTGGAGGAGAATTATGTGTTTTATTCATATTCTCCTTCTAGTCTGTTAATATAATACTCTCCATAAATAACTTTTTCATGACTTACTTCCACTACAAGTGAAGTGAGAAAAAACTGAAATGAGCAAAGAATGCTTTTGTCAAGCCATCCAATAAAATATTCTTCAGTTTTCATCCCCTTAAATCCATAAAGAAAACCTCTAAAGTTTCAACAAAAACGAAAATCTCAGATACTACATCTTAGTCCTAGATGAAAGAAATAGGAAAAAAGTGGTAGAAATATGAGTGATTATTAAAAATTACCAATTCACTTCTTTTATAAATCAATATTACTTTTCTTCACCTTTTGTAAAATGAGAACACCCTAAGTCATAGTGATTTTGGCAGTTTCAAATAAAAGAATGTGTTTGAAAGAACTATGTAAATGAGATATAATGATCATTTCTCTCTCCTATATGTAAGAAAACAGAGAAAATGTTAAATAAACATATTTCATATAATCAGACCATAACAGAGTTTACCTTTTGGGGCGGGAGCTAGACAGTTCTGACATGGGATACTTCTTCTTCTTCTTAACATCTGAAACACTGGGTTCTTCACTAGATCCTTCTATTTTAAAGAAAAAGACAAATGTACAGAGAATTAGTAAATTTTCTTAAACTAGCAATATCTCTCTTAAAACCTTGGTTTTCTAATTAATGATTTTCAGTTTTCTTAACATCTTTATTGTTTTCAGTCCCCTGTTCTCTCAGTCAATCAGCCAGCTACCCTCTTTACGTCTTTCCTAATCTAGTATTTTCTCATGAGAAAGTACTTTCAATTTTTATGACCCACTCTTTTCCTTGTAGTCATCCTGCCAGTCTCCACCTTGGCTGAATTTCCTGCTGTACCAAGGCAGCTAAGAGCTGCTGGGAAAAAATAAACAGAACCACAAATAGGCGCTAATATAAATTTACACTTTCATATCTGAGCTATCACCTTATGTCACTTAGCGACTCTTTTACTTAACACTGTTCGGCCCCCCATCCATTCTCCAGAAAGATCCAAACAGTACTGGATCCTTTGCCTAGATTCTAATTCCTTTTACTCCCACATGACCTAGTTCGCTTTATAAAGAAAATCAGATACCATTTTCTATAAAATCCTAATTTTCCTATCTTTTTATTCTCTCATTTGTCTATATCTTCCCTCAACCTTACTCATTTCCTTCTAATTCTAACTCATCTACCTATTCTGTTGATCCCATTTCCTCTCTCAGGCCCACTAATTACTCTCTCCATTGTATCCAAAATGTCATGAATTTCTTTTTTTTACAACCAAAACCGAAACCAAAAAAACCACCCCACCCTCAACTCTGGCTCCTTCTACAACTATTTTTCTATTTCTCTTCTACACCAAACTTACAATAAATAATAGCACATTGTTGTTATTTCTAATTTTTGACCTACTATTCTTAAAATATTTTCAGTCTTGCTCTACTCTAACCTAATTTTCAGAAATTAATTTTGTGAAGGTCATTTAATTGCAAAATCCATAGATCTCTCCATTTCTCCTCTGACTTCAGAATTTGTGTCTAACCTATCTTTCTAGCTTTATTTGCTGTTATACATGCACATTACATTATAAATACTATAAAATACACTGAGGTCCCAGAATAAAACACACTCTATTTTTTTAACTGCCCTTTCACGAGATTTTTTCCACAACCAAAAAACACTCTTCCCCAGCTTCTCTAACTGATGTACTACCACCAAATTCAATTACTTCCTTGATGAAAACTTTCCTACCAGTCCTATGAGATTCTTTAAAAAAGAGAGATCCTAAATTTTTGTACAGTACAAAGCCAAAACTGGAATTACATCATTAGACTAGAAAAATATAAATCAAATATTGGGTTCTAATCACAATTAAGGTTTACCTTTGCTTAGTCCATCTGCCTTTTCACTGGCATTGCTTCCTCCAAGTTTCACAGATTTGTCATTAAAATTACATTCCTAGATGAAAAGACATGTTTCTTAAATACTGCTATTAGTTTTAAATAAAATTTAAAATGCATCCTATTTTATATTGCTTTACTTTGCATAGTAAAGACTACTTAAATTACTACCCAATTCTGGAGCAACTGGGGGGGTGAATAAGTTAAGAGGAAAATACACAAACTGATTAAAAATTTTTTCACAGGTATTTCAAAAAAGAAAACTGGTCAGCCTTAGCCTTTTCAAAAGGAATACAAAAAATAAACCTCAATTTATAAATGACATATTAGTTACTGTGAGAAAAGTTCTTAAAATGGGATTTACTTTATAATGAAGAATTCTCAGACTTTAAGCTTTTCAAACCAGTGTTCCATATTCAGTAAAAAAATAAATCTTTAATGAGGCCTCCAGTTCAGGGAAGATTGATAAAATAGTATAGGTCCCAGAGTGCCCCTCTTCTCCCACCCTACGGGAAATTTTCCTGCCATCCCTTTCCTTTTTTCTCTTCATGTGTAACCTCCTTGTTCCAAATTCATCAACATATACGGAAGTCAAGAAAATTCTATAGAAGTCGAATTTTAAGCACTTTATGAAATCCCGTTAGACTTTTACTAAAAATGTGGCTGAAAAGAAGATCCATCCCTTTCTAATGGTACAGTTTGGTATTTCTTTATTATTAAATAAATTGAAAATCTAAAACGTAATATTTTTAGAGATACGTACCTGGAAGAGTTATTTTAGGTAATATTCAAAGCATTCATTCCAAGAAATACATATCAAAAATGCTTTTATCAAATGTTCTACCAAGTCTCCAATAATTCGTGTAACCGTTTAAACAGTATGCAAAACATAATCTAAAAGTTTATCCACATATAAAAGACAGTCTTTAAATTATTCTTTATGTTAAATGATTTTGCTCAGGAAGTTTTTTTTTTTCACAGAAAGTTCAAAGGTAAACTTTTTACAAAGTCCAACCTAGATGAAATCATACTCTGCTCCAATCTAAAGGAATTTAAATCAATGATGTTTCACTGTGTTAAGTTCTAAATATCCAAATCTGTTTGAAACAGTGAGGGTTTTTTTGCAATAAATTCTTGGCTGGAAATCATATCTTCATCTTCCATTTCAATTAATGTAGCAAACTAAATATTCTAAAACCTTCCTATAACACCTCAAATGTATAGTTGATATTGGGGAAAAATACAAAAAATCTTTACTAATAACTAATAATTTCTCAATTGATATAATAATTGAGACTAAAGCTGTAAGTAGTCTTATGTGCTTCTATCAATTCTGGTAACCTAGAACTTCAGTTTTAATAACCAAATGTAGGAAGAACGAGACATAAAGCATTAGACTATTCAGGGTAGGGAACTCAATCTGAGACTCTAACAGGTTTAATTCCCCAAAAAAGAAAGAAGAAAATGCAACTAAGTACAGACATTAATAAAATCAAATCTCAATAGCAGGTGGCAGGAAACTGATGTGCAGCCTCTCTGAAAACTAAAAACGAAGGATAGTAATCCAAAAGAGCTCAAAACAGAGAGATTTCTGCACACATCTTTTTGCTATTTCCTACTTTAAGCTCTTTGAATTTTCAGGTTAAAAACAAAAATAATTGTTCCTTTCCAGTAATATTTATTTTTCTCATTAAACTAATTTTTAATTCTTAGAAATTAAACATACATGTGTAAATACATAAATATACCTATATTAAATATCAAGAAAAGTCACTCATATTCTCATCACTAGGACAAAAATTATCAATATTAACATTTTAGTATACATAGTATGTGTGAATATACTTAAGATACACAAAAATATATTATATATTTATAAAATGAGAATTCAAACTCTATATATAGAGTTTTGGCATTATTTTTTTACTAAAAAATATCATGAGGTCCAGGCATGGCGGCTCACTCTGTAATCCTAGCACTCTGAGTCCAAGGTGAGAGGATCATTTGAAGCCAGGAGTTCAAGACCAGCCTGAACAACACAGGAAAATCCTGTCTCTACAAAAAATAGAAAAATTAGCTGGTCATGGTGGCATACTCCTATAGCCCCAGCTACTTGGGAGACTGAGGCAGGAGGATGGCCTGAGCCCAGGAGTTTGAGGTTGCAGTGAGCTATGATGACGTCGCTGCACCCTAACCTGGGCAACAGAGCAAGACCCTGTCTCTAAAAAATAACAATAAAAAATAAAAAATCATGAAAGTGATTATTCATCAAAAATAAGGTTTTGTGATTGTATAATACTAAATTTTATGGCCATATCATAATTTAACTGTTCCCTTGTAGAAAGATGTTTCAAATTGTCCACCTTTAAAACAACGGAGGAAAAAAAACTTATACTTTTATCTTTGGAAAAAATGGATTTCTGATAATGCCTATAGTTTCTTAGAAACGGCATTATTGACTAGGTCAAAGATTATGAACGCTTTTAAGGCTCTGGATATCACCCTCAAGAATGTGATACCAACTTTCACCCTTAGCAGCAACACACAAGATACATCATTCATTACATCTCTGAAAACAGCAGATATTATCCATTTCTTGGTAATTTTTTTAAATGATAAAATGTAAAGGTTTCATGGTATATCGGAAACTTAACAGAAAGTACACTTACTAATACTTTACCTTCTTCAGTAGATTCTTTTTAAGTCTTTCAATAGGAAGAGGTTTGCCATCATGGAAGTTGGTAAGAATTACTGCAATGGCCGTAAGAGTTTTACCCTTCAAAATGTTTTAAAAGACAAATGGTGAGATTCTGAAACCTAGCTTCAAAAACCAGAAAATATTCCAAAACCAATTTTAAAGTCAAGTAATCAAATATCAAATATTCAGGGCCACAAGGGTACTGATTATCATATTAAATAATATACATGTTAATGAAAAATGAGTATTTCATTTAGTTAGGAACTGCCTTCACTCACATGAGGAATTATCAAATGATTTATACTATAAAATACTACAAGAATGTCTTATTTAAAATGTCATTTTATTGAATGACTGCTGTTCTAAAATTCTACATGTCACCCTAAACTATTAATTTTATCATGAAATTATTCACAACTATTTATTTACCATGAAGTTCAGAACTAATTCAAAATGATTAGTAACTCCAGTATGCACAGGAAGAGATAATCATTAAAGTTGATTTAAAGATCATACCAAGACTTAAAAGCCATAACTTATCAATAAAGCATAAAGGATATGATATTTCTTATGCATTTTTCTTAAATAGAAATGTAAATTTTCAATATCTTCTGCAGCTTAATTTATATTTCACAATACAAAAATAAATCTCTGGCAATTTTAGAGCAGTGTGAAACAGTAGTTTTCAAAGTGTGGTCCACAGGCCTCTGAGGGGATCCCAAGGAAATCGTGAGGTCGAACTATTTTTATACTACTACTAACTAAGATCTTATTTGTGTTGACATTTGCACTAATGCTATAAAAACAAATGGTGGAAAAAGTGCTGGTACCTTAGCATAAAACAAAGCAGCTGGCTCTCTGGTATTGATATATTAGTGGCCATGATGTTCCTAATCACCACATACAGTAAACAAAAATAAAAATAAAAATAAAAAAAGCCAGTTTAAGAAATGTTTCTGATGAAGTAGTATATATTAACTTTATTAAATCTCACCTCTTAAGTACATATCTTTTTAATATTCCATGTAACAAAATGGGAAGTACACATAAAATACTTCCGTTGCATAGCAAAATATGGGGGTTGTCTAGAGAAAAATCACTTGAGGGTAAGTTGCAAATTTAACTAGCCACTTTTTTTCATGCTCTTTATTTGAAAGAATGACTGACAACTGCCATTCACAATTGGGTGTCTGGAATACAGTTTCTCCAAAATAAACAAAGTGAAGCCATCCCCTTCAAGGGCAATGACTGAGACTATTTGTTGTCAATGATAAAATTTGAGTTTTCAACCGGAAATTAAAGTACTAAAAAATTTGTATCTGATAGTATGAACATAGCACATTCCCAAAATGTAAATGGTTTTCTAATAAGCGGTGATATCAGCTTATTAAGTATGAAGTGTCCGATTTCCTGAAGTGCTAAGTTTGACAGTTGATATCTCTGACATTTCACTTTGACACTTCCTGTTTTACTTTTATTGTGAAGGTACATCCTCAGTCTTGCAAATGTATGTTTTGGCTTGTAATTATCTTTCAAATTTTTTTTAGAGCACTTTTGTGAAACCATGGATAAGTCAAAAATTAATGTTATTTTCAAATGAGTTCCATCATGGAACTAACGCAGTGAAGACAGCTTGAAATACCAACAAAGTGTTTGGGAAGGATGTGGCTAACGAACACATAGTATGTCGATGGTTTGAAAAATTCCACTGTAGTGATTTTAATCTTGAAAATGAGCCATGTGGGTGACCCAAGACCAAGGTGGATAATGATGAACTAAAAGCTGTAGTGGAAGCAAATCCATCTCAACCTATGCACGAATTAGAAGCAGGGTTTGATGTTATTATTCCAATAATACTGGATGATTTGAAACAAATTGGCAAGGTAAAGAAGTTGAATAGATGGGTTCCCCATGAATTAAATGAGTGTCAGAAAAGAAATTGTCTCGAAGCTTGCCTTTCTTTTCTATCACGACATAAAGGTGAACCATTTCTACACTGTGTTGTTACGTTTGTTGAAAAATGGTTTCTTTTTGACAACTGCAAGCGTTCGTTCGGCACAATGGCTGGACAAAGATGAAATGCCAAAATACAGTCCAAAACTGAATACTCATCAAAAAAAGCCAATGGTGTCTGGTGGTCCAGTGCTGGTATTATCCACTACAGCTTCAAGAAACCTGGTCAATGTATTACAATGGAGGTCTACTGTAACCAACTGGATGAAATGATGAGGATGCTTGCGATGAAGCAGCCAAGACTGGTCAATAGAGAAGGGCCAATCCTATTTCAAGACAATGCTTGACCACATGTCACAACAATGCAGCTAAAACTACAGAAGTTGGACTTGGAAACTCTCTATCATCCACCATATTCACCAGACCTTGCACCAACTGACTACCACTTCTTCCAGGCTTTGGACCACTTCTCACAAGAAAAAATATTCAATTCTCAACAAGCTGTGGAAAACGCCTTTCACAATTTCATCACCACTTGCTCTCCAGGTTTCTTCACTGCTGACATAAATGAGTTACCATTAAGATGG